ATCTTTGAGACCAGAACCTGGAACCAAGGCCTCAGTTTCTCAGGAGACTAGGATCCCACTAGAGCTGAAGCTCTGACCCCACATTGATACCTGGGGTCATTAGTACTGAAGACCCCAGAAGATCAGAAGGCCTGTTCTTGAGGTGGTCACTAGACACACCTGAGCCAGCATTGGAGGCCCGGTCCTGTGAAGCTTTCTGGTCCCATCAGAGCCAAAGACCTGGATGCACAATGCCAAAAAGTATGATCTTCTTCCTAAGATGCTCATGGTGCTCTCTTGTCCTTTAGTTACTTTATAATTATGAGAGTACTTTATTACACATTTAAAGAAACAAGGTGTGTGATGGATTTTTACAGAAATCTCTAAATAGCTACATTGTTGTTATTATAGTTGTTTTAATGTATATCAAAGCTTCATGAAAAACACAACTCAATTTGATGTCTGTTATTGTTCTTATATTACAATTAACATAAACTACTCTATTCTACAAATGTAATATTTAAATCACCAATTGAATATGAAAACTAAATTTCATTAATCTTTTAAAAATCATTGGTACCAGCTGGGCGATGGTGGCGCACTTTAATTCCAGCACTCAGGAGGCAGAGCCAGGTGGATCTCTGTCAGTTCCAGGCCAGCTGGGTCTACAGAGCACGATCCAGGACAAAACCACACAGAGAAACTTTGTCTCGAAAAACAACAACAACAACAAAAAATCACTGGTACTAGGATGGGGAGATACTTGGTAGATAAGTGTTCTTACCACTGATCTTGAAGATCTGAGTTTGGTTCCCAGCACCCATATGATGAAAAGGAGAGAGGCAACTCCTCTAAGTTACTCTATGACCTTCACCTACATACATGCCATAGCATACAGGTGAGTTCGCACATACACACGAAATATTTTTTTTTAACTTTTGGTTGATTCTTTGTAGATTTCACATCAATCATCCTGATCCCATTCATCTCCCCATTGCCTTGTTTCTGTCCTCTGCCCTTGAAGCGTCCCCCAAAAAACAAAATTTAAAAGCAAAACAAAAAATAAAAATAAAAAAAAAATTCTAGGCATAGAAGGTATAGTTTGTCTCAGTGGGTTACACAGTATACTCTTAATTCATATATATACTTGTTTGTGTTCATTGCAATGAGTAATTGGTCTGGTTTCGGGCCTCTTGCTTCTACTAAACAATGGATATTCGGCCCTCACTGGTATGTCTCTTGGATATCCTGTTGTTGCCTTGTGTCATAGAGATCCTGAAGCTTTGGATTCCATGTGTTGCAGCTGGTGAGGGGCAGGGCCAGCTCTCTCACCTGGTGCAGGTGGCAAGGGCTGAGGGAAGGGAGGGTATTTATTTTTCCTCATTCATGCCACCACAGGGCAGATTCGGGGCGCGGTGTCAGTTGTCCTGGTCTCACACTCCTCAGGCCAGCTCACCCGCACACCCATTGTGCTGGCCGGGTGAGGTGGAGGACCTGCTCTCCTGATTGCTGCTGTGGGGGGGGGACAGTTCTCCCACTCTCATGATCTCAGGGCCAGCTCTCCTACCCACCACAGGTAGGGAAGATGGAAGGTCATCACTCCCTCTCCCACCGCACCAAACAGCCGATGAAGGGTGGGGCCAGATCTCACACACACCTTCAAAGCACTGGATCACCTCCACTCTAGTCAACAGAGTCAGCTCTACTGTGCTGCCCAGGCTAGGTGCAGGGCTCACTCACCCAAGTGACCCTGGGACCAGCTTTCCTTGCCCACAGTAGGTGGCAAGGGGTAAAGGTACAAGGGGGGTTATCTCTCCCTCACCCAAGCCACCTCATGACAGACTGTGGGGCTAGCTCTCTTCCTCTTGGATCTTCAGTGCTGGCTCACCTCAACCTCCCCCCACCCCCCGCAAAGAGGGACAACTCTACTATGATGCCCTGGGGAGGCGCAGGGTCCTCTCTCTGGAGTCCTGCAGTTGTGACAGGCAGGGCCAGTTCTCCCTAGTGCTGTAGCCAGTGAGGGGTGGTGCCTACTGTATGCAGCCCTAGCCTCGCTGCTTGCTGTGGTTACAGGAACCACAGACATCAACACAAACTGCAGTTGCAGACAAGACTGCTGCTTTCTTCTTTCTCCTGGACACGGGTTGACCAGATGTCCTGGCTGGACTTGTCTTTTGTTTTTTGGTTTTTGGTTTTTGTTTTCCCTGCCCCGGACATGGCCCCTGGCAGCAGCCCAGACCCAAACTACACTACGGCCTTGGGTAGCAGTATAGGCTGCTCAGATCCACATGGCCCCAGCAGAGGCTCAATCCTCAAACACTAACCTGGCCCTAGGCAGCAGCCCAGGCCCTGACTTCCGAATGGCCCTTAGTTGCACTATGGGTCATGGACAACAATATAGATCTCAGCTGTGATTGGACCATGGACCCCAGACATGGTCCTTGGCAACAACCTGGAACAGATGTCATTGTGACCCTAGTTAGCGTTGCAGATTTCCCATATCACCATGGCCCCAGTGGCAGTGTGGTCCCCAAACACCAACATGTCCCCAGGTGGCAGCCCAGAACCAGGGCATCCTCTCAGCTTTTGATAGTAACAGGAGCCACGGACATCAACACAGACCCTGGATGGAGTAGGGTCCTGAACTCAGACATGGCCCATGGCCACAGTTCCAGCCTAAATGACAACATGGTCCCAAGTGGCAGCACCGACCACCCAGGCCTGTAGGGCCCAGGCAGCAGCTTAACCCTCTAAGACCAACATGGTCTCAGGTGGAGGCCCAGACTGTGGAATTCTGCATGGCCCTTGGTGGAAACACGAGCCATGGGATATCAACTCAGAGCCAGCTGCAGCAGGGTCACAGACCCAGAAATGACCCCTGGCAGCAGTCTGGGCCGGACATCAACATGGCTCCTGTGGGGGCACTTTTCTTGTACATCAACATGGTCACAGGTAGTGACCCAGACTTCAGGTGTCCACAGGGCCCTCAGTAGTAAATGGAACCACAGATATCAACACAGACCCCCGACAACTGCCTTAGGACCAGGGACCAAGTATGGCCCTTAGCGGCAGCCCAGACCCAGACATCAGGCCCTGTAGGCAAGCAGGGCATCTACCTTAGCCCGTTCCTTACCCCAATCTCACCTCTTCAAATCTGCCTCTCTCCCCATCACATGATCTCTCTCTCTCTCTCTCTCTCTCTCTCTCTCTCTCTCTCTCTCTCTCTTCCCCATTTGGCCACCCCGTACTCACCATAATGGTGCTCGACTGCCCAGGACCTGGAGTCAGACAGGCTCGTAGGTGAATTCTTTCCACCCCAGGTCTAGAGATCTGGGATGGAGCTGCATTTGTCCTCCAGAGTCTGCCAGGCCCAGAAACCTATTTTTTTCATGTAATGAAAATCACTTCAACCTTAATGAAAATCTTTGAGCACATTCAAAATTTGAGCACATTTTGAAAACAAAAATGAGCACACCTTCAAGGACCTGTGAGACTTGATAAACTGTTCCATCTCTGTCTTCAAAATGTAGAAGAGGAAAAAGGATGTGATGTTTTAAAAAAGTTTTGAAGAAATTATGATTACAAGTGTTGCAAAATCTGTGCAAAACACAAGCACACAGATTATTAAAAATAGGATAACCTTAAGTCTATACACAAAGATGATATCAAATGAATGAAAACTAAAAACAATCTTTACGGCAACCATAGGAGATGGAATGTCATTTGCATGGCAAGAACAGTACACATGACTGTGGATTTGTCTATAAAATATGCAAACAGGAAAGAAGTGGAACAGTGGAAGGGATTTAAGAAATTAATTGAATCCATTCTGTATTGTTCAGTGTGAAACTGAAAGATACTTGTTCTCAGATGAAAGGGAACTCAGAGAACTTTATTATTTTGTCTGTGTATGTCCATGTGTATGCACACACATGTGCCACAGTATGTGGAGAGGTGAGAAGACAACTTTGTACAGTTAGTTCTTCTCTTCCTCATTTATGTGGGTTCTGGGTTTTGAACTCAGGTGAACTAAGATAACTTCTAATAAGCACACTTACTGTTAAAAGATTTCTAAACCACTTATGTGGTTAGTGAGAAAAGAACAAAACTAATAAATATAGAATAAAAATAGTTAATACTCATATATTTATCTATGCTAAGTGTTTACAGCAGTGAATAGTCAACTAGACAGTAAAATATCTTATTCTTCTTAGTTAATTTTAAATATCAGTTTGTCAATTAAACACAAAAAATACCACATTGTCTCATAAGAATTTTATTATCAGCATTGTACATGGTATGGGGTAACTAAAACATACATATGAGATAAGAGGATGATAGTTAAAGAGACCTATCCAGTGTAAAACCAACAATTCATTTGAAACAGTAAAGAACAGATTCTAAGTAAACTGTCAAATATTAATCATTTCTAGAGCAGTCACTAAAAGATAAGCAAAACTATACAGTCAAAATAAAAGACTAAAACCAGAAAGACGAGATGTTCATGAAAGATGACCCAATAAAAATTAAATCAAACAATGAAAACAATAGTACAGCTCTAGAGCGCCACGGTGTACTCTAAAGAGGCCGTGATGGCTAATCGTTGTTCTTCAGGTTGACAACAACTGCAATAAACTAAAGCCCAGGCTGCTGAGCACTGCAGTGAGGGATCCTCTCATATTATTTGAAGCAGGAGGACCCGCCCTCAATCTCAATCACACCTTCTGGTGACAGGGCAGGCAAAGGACAGGACCAAGGGAACTAACTCAGCTCTTTGCTTGTTTCCGTTCACTCTCACCATTGTGTTCATCTGACCTGTTGCTGCTGTGTTCCTCAGCCATTCTTAGAACCAGCTTCTTGGTATCCCAACACAGACTGAAGACGAGCATCTCTCTAGGACTCCTCCAGGATCCCAGCAGCAGATTGGGACTACAGAGACATCCAGCTTTGTGTACCAAAAAAACTATCAAACTTTTTGCCTTTCCCTTGTGAGATACCCATTGTTGGACTACCAGGACCACACCCTAATAAATCATATAGTATAAATATATTCCTTTAGAGAATGTTGATTATTATAGATTCACTGGGCCTTCAATGCAGGATTATTAAATTGAAATACATGAAAATAACAATAAATAGAAAGATGTAATCCAAGTGTGTTTGTATATATCTGGGCACAATTTATCAATATTTTACATATTAAAATATCAAAACCTCCTAAGACTTGTATTGTTGCATAGATATATTTTAGAAGAAAAATATGACCATACCTGGAAATTTAGAAAGTCTACATGATTGTATTGTATGGTACATTCACGCAATAAAATCTATTCAGCACTAAAGAAACATGCTGTTATGAAACTTATAAGAAAATGGATGGGACTGAAAAATGTACTGAGTGAGGTAACACATGATCGGAAAAATAAACACTAAGTGTTCTCTTGTGAATTTTAGACTCCGGTTTTTGGATAGCTGGGGTTTTAGGCTGGAGAATCAGTGGAAGAAAAGTAATAAGAAAGGAGTCAGGAGGGCTTGGGGGTGGAAGAAAAAGGGTCTGAAGCAGAAGAGATGGAAAATATAAGGACTATGGAAGAGGAAGCTGAGAAAACTAAAAGCTCTAAGATTTAAAGGGAGATAAGGGTAAGGGACTAGTGAAAATGTAGGATGGTCAACCAAAACTAAAGATGTATGAAAAAGCCAATAGAAACCTACTACTTAATAAGCTAGCTTTTATATATGTGTGTGTGTGTGTGTGTGTGTGTGTGTGTGTGTGTGTGTGTATGTGTATGTGTGTGTATATATATAGTTTTTTTTTAGGAAGATGGGAGTGCTCTACATGGGTAGTGAATGCTGCTCCCAGTGTCTGATGTAAGAGCTCTGTTTATGCACTATTGACTGAGGAAGCTGCCGGAGGCTCCCACAACACTGGCTATTGTTCTGCTCTCGAATGCCCACCAAAACTAGACAGAAATGCCTGAGTGCTGAACACACAACACACACTCGATAAATGACACCGAGAAATGAAACTGGAACTAATATGGAAGCTCTCTGCCTCTGGCTAGCTGAAAGGGAAAGCCATCAAACGATCACAGGCTGTAGATCCCGTGTGCTCCAATAACGAATTGACTGGAGAGATGCCCACTGGGACAATGGTGGCATGAATATTCCAGGGAAATCCAACTACTTCCTGATTGGAACTGGGACCTCCATGGGATGGGATGCATGCTTGGCTCTATAGAACTGGTCAAAGTCTGTGTCTGGGAGACGAAAAGAACAAGCCCTACGGAGAAATCTGTTTGCCAAAGGGACAAATAGTCAATGTGCCTACCCATGGACTAGTGCAGCTCTTAGTCTTTATCAGGTAAGCCTCTTTCAGCAGGGGTGTTAGTCAAACCTCAAAGTGCCCAAAGCAACTACTGAAGGCTCGGCTTCAAACAGTACATCTATGTCAGCCAAGGCCAAGGAAACACTGTAGAAAAAGAGGTGGAAGTGGGCCAAAGAATGGGGAGGAGTGTGGTGGGGTACCATCTTCGGGGTACAACGACATGCCTGTTGTAATCACGAACATACAGCAACTGTGATTTCTTGCATGAAGAGTGAAAAAAAGAAACAGTAGGAACACTGGGAAGAAGGTGGGGAAGGAGAGAAAGACAAG